GGTATGTTTTATTTATGACAAAGGTGACACAATAGAGCAGTGGGTAAAGGATAGCCTTTCACTAAATGATGCTGTGTCAATTGGATATTCATATGGGGAAAAATAAAATTGATCCTTTCTCACATCATACCAAAACCAGTAATTTCCAGTTGGGTTGAAATTAGATATGAGTGGTAAAACAGTAAGTCTTGGTAGGATACTATAGAATTATCTTTCTGTTACCTAAGAGTAGAGAAACCCAAAGCACTAACTACAAAGAAAATATTGATAGAAAAGGAAGAGAGACCAGGACAGAGGCCCAGTTAATTGAGAAAAACAACTAGAGATAATGGAGGAAAATTAAGGACATGTGAAGTGTGAGAACCTGAGGGAAGAGCCTGCTGTAAGGAGGGAGTACTCAACAGTGTCAGGTAGAGTTCAAGTGATATAAGGGCTGAAAGTGTCTAGTGGGTTTAATGAGAAGGGAGACATGGATGAAAGCAGTTTTAGTGGAGAGAGAACCCTGAGCCAGACTGCAGGGGTTGAGGTATGATGGAAGTGAGGGAGTAATTCTGTCAAGCATTTCATCTTTGCAGAGATGGTAGGAGATGAGATCATCATTACACTGGCTGAGTTAAGAGAGATTACTGCTGTTTTTTCAATGAGAAAGTTGACTACGTTTGATGCTGATGAGATAAATTGTAGTGAAGAGGGGTGAGTAGGATTTAAGATATCAGAGAGAAAGAGGGTGAGGGGTAAGAATGCATGAAATTCCCAAGAAAGCAGGGAACATAGTGTGTATCTGAAGTACAGGGGGAAAACTGAACCTTACATAGCCTAAAAGTACCTCTTCTTTGATAATAGAAGAACTAAGGGAAGGATGTAAGTAAATGAAAGTCACTTTATAGGTTTGGTGTCAGGAGTTAAGTGGTTTTCCAATTGCTATATTCTATTTTCTCTAAATAATACTAACAATTACAAACACTTGCAATGTCCTATACTATTCCAAGCATTTCAATAGTCCTATTGAGGGGTTGTTCTATCATTATCACCATATTAAAGTTCAGGAAAGAGAAACATGAAAATAGGTCAACTAATTTTCCCAAGATCACAAGGAGCCCAGGTTCACACCAGGTAAGCTGGCTCTGGAGCCACAATCTTAATCACTACTACGTCTTGGAGTTTATTTGTCTTCACTCTCTGAAAAGGAGAAGATTAGATTGGAAATGCTCTTGTGTGGGACAACTGAGAATGCCTTCTGAGAAATTGCAGATCGCTTCCCAGGTGGCATTGGGGGCTCTGGGGAGACTGGAGACCATGTCTTGTTGGCCCAAGCAAGAACTTTTGAAAATGCTCCGAGTCAGGAATGAGCAGAAACTACATTGGCTTCCCAAGTAAGGGAAGAGCTCCTCTGATGGGGGTCCAAAAAAATAGAAGCTGCTCAGTGCTGGCACTTGTGTTCACTTTCTGATTTTTTTTTTAAAGGAAAGGAAGAATGTGTTCTTCTCCAGAATTACCCTTGGAGAAAAAGTTGGAGAGAGATTCTAACTCTTAAATTGTCTTTTGAAATGTGAACGTGAATAAACAGGACATAGTAGACCTATTGACAGAAGAGCTGAAACTAAGTCATTAGGAAGGGGTGGAAGGAAATTGTAGACTAATTAACCAAAATATGCAACTTTAACTTTATAAGAACACCATGCTTCACAGAGAACTGCTTGAACTGTCAATATTATTTTTATGCCTAGGGGTCACTTAGGAACACACCATGAGTCAAAAACTGTGACTCAAACCTCAAGTCTCCACAAGCTGGTCAGACCTTATTCAATCTCCACACCTCCCTATACACACATATTCATTGTGAACAAACTGTAGTTGATTGACTGGTTGATCAAATGACTGTAGCTTTTCCCAAGCACAGGCTCGATTTTTTAAAATTAAAATGTGATTGGAATAGTACCTAAGAATTATACATATATTTATTAGAAATAAAAAAAAGAAAATACACAATAAATTTTCAAAATGTGCAGAGGGTACTAACCATGTTTACATAGTCAAATGCTGATCTGATATAATGGAACCAGAAGGTCACCAGAAACTCACAGAGTGGCCAGAAGAGTAGTTGAGTGTAGGGAGCAGCTATAGGGTCAAGCCTCAGACTGATCTGTGGCAGAGCCACATACAAGTTCCAGCTTGGAGAGCAGAGCCCTCCTAGCACAGTTAAGCTTGACCTTATAGTCCTCCCTTGTTCCTAGGTAGCTAATGGGCTGTAGGAGGTGCAGCAAGTGCTGCCAAAACAAGGCTTGAGTAACAAAATAGATCTGAAACTCGCAAGAACATTGTCAACATGTTGACCACTCCCCTTGTTTTGCTTTGTGTGATCGGACTATAAAATAAAGCTTGGGCTCACAGGCAGGCTGTGTCACTGTTTCCTCATCCAGGCAGTGATCCACCTGGTCCCAACTGTATTCTCTTGTCTGGCTTCTTTAATCCTTCACTGCCCCTCCTCAGGTTCACCCCTAGCCATGCTGGACGCGGTTCAGTTGAGTTTGTATGTGGGTGTGTGCAAGTCAAGTCATACAGGGAACTGACTCTGTCTCATAAATGATAAATGCTGAAATAATGGTTTCCACCTCAGATTTAGGAATCACTTATAGAATATTCAACCCATTGACCTACTGGGACCAGAAGAAAACAACCAAATAGCAAACATTACTAGGAAGAATGTGGGCAAACAGGAAGATGGTTCCAATTTCCATCATTTTCTGCACACTTGAAATTCTACTCATTGTGTTCATTGCCTTCAGAAAATGTCAGAATGAGCATATAAATACATTTTTACCATTTGTTTCGACAGATTTCTGCATAAAGGGCCATAATGAACCTGGTACGCAGAGACTGTCTAACACAGAGACTGTTTGGAAGGGGTGTCCCATGAGAGACAGCAGCCGAGGTGGACAAGCAGAATCTCTGTTGGGAGGAGTGACAAGGCACAGGGAAGGAAACTCGTGCAGAGGGTCAACTAAGAAGGATAAAGTCAGAATGGAAACAGTGAGAAAATACAACCAGGACTAAAGGATGAGAGGAAGTTGGAACAGTTTGGATCAAGGAAAAGACTTCAGGACTATGTTCAAGGACTCCAATTATCCTTTACGAAGCATATGTGGTAGCTGGAAGGACAGGTGTAGAGAGAAGTCAGAGCCATGTTGGGTTACTAAGGAAAATGGGTATTTTCAGTTTATTATCCTATCATATGAGAGGTGATAACCATGTCTTCCTACAAGATGTACCTTATAGCCTTTGTCAGACACCAAGGCCTGGGCTGGAAGAAACAAGGTGCTATGCATGTATGGAAGTTATCATGGTAACCAGAATTGTGAGCTCCTAGAACCCAGGACACACCCTTATTCGAATATGACCAGCAAACATCCTTGAAGTCATTGTAAATTACTTGGCTCTGCATTTACTTAGATTCCCCATACTCATGCTTCCTTCTTCATAGGAGAGATAACAGAAACAACTGAAAATTGTTTTCCTTTCTGAATGATCACATGCTTTTGGTACCTCTCATATGGAGAGAGAAACATTGGCTCTTTTTCACACTAGTAAGCTTCCCCATCTGTCTGAATTGCGTGTAAATTGAACTGATGAAAATGGCCAATTGGCCTCTAAGATCCCTGTGAGAAACCCATTAGCTGTCCTCAGCAAGAGGAACTGTTAGGTTACAATGACTATATTAGGACTCTTTTGTTCCTGATTTATGTCTGCTAATAAAGATAATTATAAAACGATGTGACATCTGACATTAAGTCTTCTATCCTATGAAATAACCTCCAAATGTTATGGTTTTAAATTATTTGGCAAGAGGCTGTCGTAATGATTAATTTCTTCTGCATATTTCTCTTCATAGGCATTTTCCCATTGTCAAACATTAGAAGGAAATCGTCCTGTTCTTGAGTTTATACTATTTTTATAATAAAACTACAGTCAAAAGGGAAAAAAACTAACAAAAAACAACAACAACACAAAACTTCACAAATATTTAGATACATACAGGAATTATCACTTCTTAGGGAAAATCCTAGTGTTTAGATGAACCTTCCTAACCTTTGTCATTTGCAGTGATCAATACCTTCTTACATTTTTCATGATGCCAACGTTATAAACTGAGACTAGGTCCTCCTACACATGACATTCAGTGTGTGCAGACACTGGGGATACCACAGGTTTGCACCAATGCACGGTCTGCTGACCTCCTAAGATATCAGCAGATATTTCCATT